GTCCGATCTGGGCATGGTGCCTACTGGTACCAAGTGTGGCAACAACATGGTAATTGTTTTTATGGTTAAAATAACCAAAATCCCTGTCATTACAAACCCATGGGACCTAATGTCTTTGTAATGTTTCTATCAGGTATGCTACAATCAAAAATGTGAAGATATCAAAAGCATTAAAGCATATGGAACAAATGACTGCTCGTCCAAATGTAACAACCATGGGGTGAGTGCCTATGTGAAACTGTCAAGGTCATATATCACAGTGCCACACTATCTGTCATTTTCCCAGGGTTTCCTTTGTAACTCAGCCATCAGTGCACAGCACAGAGAACAAACATAGTGAAAGCAAAGCCTGCAGGTCCAATCAATCGGGTTTATGTAGTGATTAGTTCAGAGAAGGGGAGTGGGCACTGGTTTTTGATTGCAGTAGCTGGGAGACTTAACAAAGTGGCACCCTGTGTAGGAATTTAAAAGCCATGCATGTAAAACTTTCTGGCAGCAGTTATGTTAGACATTGCAATTTGTATTACAAATTTGACCAGCATTGTCTCTCAGATGCAACTGAGTGCCAGACATTTCTCGTAAAAACTTAATATTATGGCGCCTTGGAGTTATTATGCAAGTCTCAGTTTTCTCCACAGAACTAGTCTGTGTTTACCTCCTGAGGGTTTAACTGCACTACAGCAATCTGACTGGTGTTCCCAAGACACAACCCTTAAACTCTTTGGACCTGCATATAAATAGTCATCTTCTAATAAGATGTTTGCATTTTATAAATGACAAGATTTTCTGCTGGTGAACTTTCCTTTAAATCTAAGATTCATATCTGCCTGTGTGTTTTTCCAGGAAGACACACAGGCAATTATCACACATATTTCTTGGATAGTTGATATTTGTTGTAAAAAAAATAAAGCCATGCATGTTAAAAATTTCTTTTGGCTCCTGCCTTAGTACATCAACGAGGTATTATGCCCTCTAAAGTGGGAGCATAGCTACGCAGCTAACTGTGGGATCTCTCATAGGTATGCAACCATGAGAATAAATGTCACTGCGATCCAGGCTGGGCTCCACCTTTCTGTGCTGTACAGCAGTCAGAGCTGACTGAAGGTATTGTTATTACGTTTTTCAATCCCATGTGAATATGCCTCTTTAAATGCTTGACCTTTTTAGAACTTTGATTTACACATGACTGTTTCCTACATGATTTAATATTCATAGACTCTAAAACAGTCTGTCTGTGCTCATGAGCAAAATAAATGGTGAATTAATTTAATTTCCCCCATTAGTCCACACAAATGACATTACTTTGAATTTTTGTCTCAAGGATAGATGATGTATGTTGTTTCTCATACGTCATCATACCGGTTGTGTATTGATGTGTGTGTGTGTGTGTGTGTGTCTAGAGTCAGGCCTGGCTATTGTCATTGTGTCAGTGAGCATTGGCTTAATTCTCCTGCTGGTCATTCTTATTGGGAGTCTGACGTGCTTCATCAGAAATAGGACACCGACAAAAAGGTGAGACAGCAGTTCACCTCTTTAAGTCAGCTTTACTTAACACTTACGTCTTTAATTTGTTCTCATTTCTGTTTTCTTTATAGGTTTCTTCCTGTGACCTCAGGACAATCCAACCCAGTGTTTCAGTCAAGCACCAGGAGAGGCAGCTCTCGCCTCGCGTCCACTCACATCAGCCAGCCTACATTTGTGGAGTCGTCTGTTTCTCAGCCCTGTAAACCTCTGTTCTCCGCTGCTGTCAAACCACAGACTGGAACTCTGAAGCCCTGCAGGGCAGCTCCAGCGGTAAGCCCAAAGCCTCAACACCCAGCTGCAGTTACACCCCGAGACTGCATGTGTTTTGACTTACATCGTCTATGATACATCACACTGAATATTACCATTAGTGGTTATGGGTATAAATTTAAGGCTGCCAACTGAGGCCAAAGGGAAAAATAATAATGGTTTTTACTTCTCTTTCTTCCATTTTCAGCCTCCAGAAAAGGAACCAATTGCATCTCATTTATCAAAGGTTCACCAGGTAATCTGAGTTTCTCTTTTTGTTCTTCTGTGTTTTGTCAATTATAGTCATGGGGTCGGTTTCTGCACCAATATACGCCAAATGGCTAAAATTATGTGTTATTCCTGCTGTTTAAAATCATTCAAATGAGATGGTGAGGATGTTGCAGAAACTAAAATAACAGTATCATGTTTCATTCTCTTTAAAGTAATTCTGATTTTTAAAAGTTGAAAAATCATGACAAACGTGTTAATCTGCACACCACCTTGACAAATAACCCAACTAATTTGCCAGCTCATATTAGCCCCTTATTCACTGCTAGTGTTAATTTACAGAGTGCAGAATGACAAAAAAGGAAGAACATTTTCACAATGTGTGTATTTAATTCATATTTAGTTCAAGTCAGGTTGCTTAACTTGCACCAATTAAGAATGAAAGTCATATTAAAAGTTAATCTCTTTTCATAGAGAAATATGAAAATCAATCTGATAAAATTCAATATTATTATATCCTGCAACCTAACAAATCAAAATAGTATCTATCTATCATTATTGCTACTGAAACTATTAGAATGTTAGAATTTTGCAAATATTTAATGCATTTCTGTTTTAAATAAATTTAACTAGATAATGTTGGACACTTGATTTTTTTTTTATTTAAATACCTTAAAAACTGCAAAGCCATGATTGTTCTGATGTATAACAAATGATATTTTCTCCCCCTTTGGTGATGCAAGAGTTAAATAAATGTTTCTTTTATAGGTTGCAAGGACATTTATGCAGCCACCAAATGTTTCAAAGTTGCCAATTTATTCTGAGGTGAATCAACACAATAGCATTTTGAAGTATTAATTGCCAAATAAAACTGATTGCCCACAAAAATGAGTGCGTCAATAGTTTCAGTTTCCTGAGGTTCTCTTTTGTTGTTGTTTTGACAGAATAAGCCGCTGCCTCCTTCTCGACCACTACCCCCGCTTGCGTCAAAACCAGTAAGTGATGTTGCAAGTCCTCTTATTTACATTCATGAATTTCATTGTCCTTGTATTTTGTTTTAATAATTAATATTCTGCCGCTAAGAACATGAAGCCGAAACCTCCAATGCCTCCGCTGAAGCCGAAGCCGAAGCCCTCTCCAGTCCAGTCTGCCCTGCCACATTCTCAGCTGGTATGTACTCACAAAGCAGACAGAATGATTAAGACTTTCCAACCTCTGACATAGCTGCTGCTGCCATCCAGACATCCCTAAATGTTATAAAAGGCATTCACGTTTATATAGAGATCTGTGGCTTTTGGCATTGCCCCAGCATAGCAGTGTAATGAATAAGCAGCGGCTCACTGTTGGAGTCGTCTCGGGGCTTAATAACTGGGACTGCTGCTCCGTGAATTAAACAGGAGGACATGTTTGGATAAAGAACACTGAAGGCCGCTTATCTAAGCTGAGTGTGTTAACTGTTTATTCATGTTTCTTTTTTTTTTTTTTTCAGGTTGGTATGAGAGCTCAGTTGATGCCCCCCAGCAGGCCGAGATGACAGTGGGAATGATTCACACTGTTGTAAATACTGCCATTCTCTGGCAGAGACGCTGAGGGACCAATAAGATCCTCTTTGGAGACGTTCATCTGTTTTACATGTGGGAAAAAGACCCACAGGGAGATCTGCAATGAAACCAGGAATGTTACAGTCACCCCGTGGAAGACGTGTTATCTGCGTCCTGCTCGTGTCAGCCTTCAGCTGGTGTACCTGAAGCAATGTTTGACAAAACTTAGCTTAAGTGCTTAATGGATGACAAATGGCGCTGCTGCTATGATGATTGATTTAGTATCACAGGGAAATTATTTACTGTGTTGGGTTTTTCCGGGCTTTTGTAAGTCGCCTGCACTATCAACGTCTTTGTTTACACATACCTTGGATGAGACTAGATTTCCTGAGCATGGTTGCACATAATCTGTTTTCAGAAGCTTGGATAAGATGTTAACCTGCATAGTTAGAGGATAAAAAAATCAAAATACTGCTGCAACCATCTCTGAAGATAATGAGGGATGTTCTAAGATTATATATTTTTAAAAATTGTATCTACAGGGAAATAAATAAGCAGATTCCTCATGTTTTATGTACGTTACTGCATTTCTGATCTAAACTGAGAGGAAATGTTACAAAGAATGTAAACACTCCTCTGAGTACTAAATTGGTAATTTCAAATTTGGTTCTGGTACTTTTATACTTCATTTCAATAATAATATGAATCACAGAGACACGCTGGCTGAAGAGAACAATAAAACCTGTCAAAACTCCTCTGGCAGATTTTACATCAAGCAGACGTTTACATCATTTTGTTTTTAATTTGTACTTGTGTTTTTTTCCTTCTTCCTACTGTTTTTATGTTTTATATTTTTATGGAATTGTTTAATTTGGCCCACTGTTAACCAATTTATTGGTAATTTTGTAATCTTTTTGTACTTTTGATCCTGTTTGTGGGCTTTCATGGTTGTTTTATATTTTGAATGGTCACTTTAATGTCTATTTATGTTTTTATTACTTAGAGTGGTTGGTGTGTGGCGACCCAAGGAATGCTGAGTGTTTTTCCTTTTTTGTTTTATTTTCATTTGTTGTGTTTTATGATCTTCTTTTGACATTACATCCTGGTATTTGTGTCTATCATGTGGGCTTTATATTACAGAATCAGTAGCAGAGACGTTATGGCTCCACAAGCTGCTCTGTAATGAACCAGTCAGCACTATCATTGGCACTTTATCCATTGGATAGCATTTCATAATAATTACAGTTTCTCTCTTTTTTTCTTTTTTTTTAATCAAAATTAACAGATATATCTTGCGTCATGATTGTAATTCTTACATATATTGTCTGCAAACATGGTGATGGAAAGATTGTGCCTTCATTTGTATTCTGTTGAAATAAATCAATCAAACTATTTATTCCTTCGTGTTTTCATTCAGAAGCCATTTGTTTTGGTTCAAAAGTGGTTACCTAGCAACCTCTGAAACAAACACGGCAGCAGGCAGCTATCGAGCTAATTGTTTTACGTTCAGACATGTGTATTGTTCTGAGAATGGATCGTGTACTTAGCGAGGAGGAAGAGCGGGACACGCTTGAATGGGTAGATAAAATACCTTTCTCCAGGCTCAAAAAGCACATCAACAGGGACTTTAGTGATGGAGGTAGATCTTGTCTTGTGTCTGTAAATGCTACTCAATGATTGTTTACTCAGTTTGTTCATGTCAGCTTGTGTTTTATTTATTTGGCTACTCTGTGTGTGTGTACTCTGGACCCTCCTGCAGTGATGGTTGCGGAGATTGTTAAGCATTACTTCCCAAAGATTGTTGACATTCACAACTACATTACTTCCTGCAAAAGGCAGCAGAAAATCAGCAACTGGAACCTTCTCAACAAGTAAGACAAGCTGTAGCTTTGTATTTCATTACATCTGATTCCTGGGAATTATTTCTGGTATTCTTCTATCAGGGCCCTGGTGAAAGAATGACTAAAGCAAAATATGTAGTAGTAGTAATACAAATAATAATCAATCATGTTTTTGAGTTTAGTTTTTTTCTCCGCTGGGCAAGTTACTAAAAAAAATGGGGCTTTGTCATGTATATGATCCCCAAATTTATTGATCATCGATTAAATTGTTCATTGCCACTATGATCAAATCCAAAACATTAAGAATGAATATAAAATTTTAAATATGTTTTAAAAGAGCTCATAGAAATGTCTTCAAAAGTGAAAAAACACGTTTTTACTATTTTTACAAATTATAAAAAAAGACAGCGATTGATCTTCAGTTAGTGGACTGGTTTTCTATGCAATGCAAATATTAAGATTGATATTTTTTTCTGGGTCTTTTCATCAAGTCATCAGAAAACACCGACATGCACTCACTAACCCACATCCTGGTAACTGGAGTTACACACAGCCAAGTACAAATTTATGAGACCCGACTGTAAACATAGTTGTCCCTGTGGGCTCATAGTAAATTGCATGTCGTTTGCTTTTTACTTATTTTTTTGTAGTAGAAACTTATGTTTCTCCGTATGGTCAGGAGGGTGTTTTCCAAGCTGGAGTTTTATGTCTCAGAGGAAGCGGTGGAGAAGATTGTTTCAAGCATTCCTGGGGCGATACTGCCAGTGATGTTTTTCCTCAAGGAGAAGATAGAGAAGAAACTGGCGCAAGCAACACGAACACGAGTTAGTATTTGCAAATAAAAATTTTAAGTCACATTTTGTCCAAAAACGAATATAAATTTCTGTGGTCTGACTGTTTTTTTTTTTATCTCCTTCCTATGTAGCCTTACTTTCGGATCCAGGAGAAACCGTTTTCAGGTACTATGTCAAATCTTCTATTCCATCATTAATGTGGTTTTCATGGGAGCGATTCATCACAAGGCAGTGAAAAATGACAAAACTATCATAAGGTTGATGACAAAAATTTATTTACACAAGCTAAAGTGCTGATTTCAAGCAAATTGTGATGACTGTGCTGACTTCCTCAATGCCAGACATGCAGGATTTCAGACTTTAATGGGGTATGTTGTGGAAAATGTTAGATGACATTGCCCGAAATGTTTCTATTTTAGTCTTGTTGGTCTGAAAAGTGTAGCTTCAGACTTTCTAAAGTGGCGCTGTACTCAGCTTAACTCGAGGATTATTTATGGAGCTCTTGTAAAAACAATGGAATTTGACCAAACGACTGAACAAGTCAATAAAAGGAAACGATACAACTGCAAACAAAGCAATGATTGTTACCTGGAATGTTTACTCTTCACAAATGATGAGGCTAAATGAAGTAGAAAAAAAAAACAAATTTACTTTTAAAGATATAACAAGTAAAGAATAACATCACTTGCCGGTCAAACTGACAGGTTTTGTTTTACAGGTTTTAAACTAACAAGACATTTTTTAAAAATAAACATCAGTAACATCTATTTCACTCTGTGTAAAGTAAATGTTTATTATATGTGTTCAGGCTCTGAAGATGTCAAATCATGACATGCTCACTCCAGAACTTTGAGAGAGATAACATTTGACCTTTGGGTCTGAGTTGGTAAAAACCTGACATAATGACAGAGAAAATGATAAAATGTACCTGAGAGAAAACATAGCTGGACCTGAACAAAATTTTAAAAAATGTTGGTTTTACTTTAACTTAAGAGGTTACTGCTCAAAATTTGTTTGACATTGTCAGAATAAATTGCTAAAATTGTCAGGATGATATTTTATAATAGAATATGTGAAAAAGACCATATTATGAGCACACTATGAATTTGTAGTGTTTTTACTTTACATGACAATTAAAAAAAACATTGACTAATGTGCAACAACCAAGCTTGGCCATAAATCTTCTGCTGTAGTTTACACTCAACTTAACATTCTGATAAAACAAACAGCTCCTCACTTGTCTGTTGTCACTAGTGATCGCATATCACCCTGTGAAATAAAGTAAGAAAAAATTTTGCAACAGAAAGTATTTCCTAAAAAAAATTCTGAAAATAATGAAAAATATGGAAAGAGAAGGGAAACATGATTTAAAAATAATAGATATGAAAACAAAAAGAAATCAAGATTGAGAAAATTCTATATTTTAAGAGGTTTTTATTGTTGACTTGACACATCAGTTCAGTCTGTTTTACAAATGGCCTTTCTGTTTCTACAAACTCTTTACCAACTTCCATCACTGCTGTTTCGAGCACTATCGTGATCTTTACACTTAATGTGTTGCCAATCCTGAGATCACTGGACATCCTCCTCATATAGCAACCGCCTCGTTTGAAGACATCAGACCTGAGTCTGATTAGAAAACGCCACAGCACGAGGGTGTGAATTGGGGATATGCATCTCTTCCGTTTCCTCACTGTGTGAGTAAGCTCACTCTGTGAAGCTGACCTCAGACCACTGCCCTCTCTCTTTTGTGCTCTCTCGATTTCCTCTTTCATCTGCACCCATCCTCTATCAGCAAGGGGGGCTCAGGTCTCCTTATCAGCTCCCAACTTTCAGATGGTCCTTATCCAGCAGTGAGAGCTCAGCACTGCTGACTGAAAGTCTGATTTTCTCTTTCTGTCCTCTTTTCTGGCATTGTCTGTCTCCTTTTGTGTTCCTCATTTATTTGCTAACCTCTTTACTTTCAGTTATTAAGTTCACCAGATTTGTCGAATTGAATCTCTTAAAATTTATTTGCTTTTGTTGTTTATGTTTTGTTAGATGTAGAGATTCAACAGGCTGAAGCAAAAATTGTGGCTCAACTGGCAGAGTTGAAGATTGCAGAGCCAACAGATTATGGGTAAATTGTTACTTTGAATTAAACCTAATAGTTTTAGTTTTAAAAATCAGTTGCTCTACTTGTAATGATGATTAGAATAAACCAAAATTTTACTTGTTCATTTTTAATTCACAAAGGAAACCGCAACAACTGATGGTTTTCCCAGAGATGAGCCGTTTAACAATGCGGCAAATCATGCTGGAAAAAGAACTTCAGGTCCAGGAACTTCAGGATATTCTGAAGGTACACTCATGCAAGCTCACTTCAATTCACACTGCTGACTGGTGAAACATCTGCGCAAACATCCATCTTCCTTTATAATGCTCTGTGTGAGGGGAAGCTTGCTCATGTTGCTGCACAAGTGTGTGTGTGTGTGTGTGTGTGTGAGTGTGTGTGTGTGTGTGTGTGTGTGTGTGTATGATGTGTCATACCCTGGGTCAGCAGCAATCCATGAATCACCACCGGCTCAGCGGATATAATTTTTTTTTCTCTCTTGCCACATTTGTTTAAAAGGGGGGGGAGGTGGAAGCAGAATGATGACCTACATTTCCAACTTCTCTTTCTAGTTCATGCCTCTTTTGGTAAACTGCCTCCAGACTGACATTGTCTCTCTCTCTCTGTTTTCTCGTACTTAGATCCTTCAGGTGAAAGTGAGCAAGTTGGAGGAGTTGATTCAATTGAAGGACAAGCGCATTGAACATCTGACATGTCTTCCAGAGGTGTACAAAACTAAACTACATCTACCTGGTTAAAAAGCAACTCACATTCTCACACAGGTCTGGGATTTTGCCGTCTTCTATTCTTGTTGAATAGAAGGCGAAGACCTTGGAGTTCAGTCACTACAGTTTTATTTTTTCTTGAACATATACCTAAAATACTGAAGATGAGATAGTATCAATATGTTATTTGATTTGTTTTCAGATGTAATTAATAAAGTACAACTACATGACCATCCTTCCTTTTATTCCATTTTCTTGTGAACACATTTGGCTCTAAATTATGATAAATTATTTTTTTGAAAATATGTTATTAGATATAGGCAAAAATGATTTGCCCTATTGTAATGTCTTTACTTTCATTTCTTTTCTTGCCATTACCATTTCAGTATGAGACAACGATAACCTTAGAAATTCAAAATGAAGTTTCCAAAAAATTATTTAATGTCTTAAAGAAAAAAATATTCAAATGATCTGACTAGCCGTCCTAAAGTTTACATACCAGAACGTTTTATGTAACTGGCAATTAATCATATTATGTTGCTGCAGACCCATTATTTCTGCATTCTTGAGAGTTTTGGACATAAAACCTAAATTTAAGGTCAATTTAATTTGAATAACTCTATTTTCTCTCCGAGGGGCAATTTCAAAAAGGTCTTGTCACAACATCTCCACCAGATTTAAGTCTGAACTTTGACTAGGCAACTTTAAATCCAACATTTTTATTTTGTCTGAATGTTTTTGTGCCATTCAGACTAATACTTTCTGATCAGCTTTGGACCATTGTGCAGACCACTGATTTTCTTAAGCTAATGGTCACAAACTGATGGCTGGACATTCTCCCCCAAGATTTTCTGATTGAAAGTATCATCTGTTCTTTTTTATGGAAATGTAGATGTTTTGGAGAAACTGAGTCAAGCCTTTCTGTTCTTCTTGGTCAGCAGTGGTTTTGGAAATCTCCCATAAATGCCATTTTTTTAGTCTTCATCTTATTGTTGAATTATGCACACTGAGCTTGAGTAAGGCAAATAAGTGTTTTATTTGCCTTATAAAGCACTTATAAGACAAATAATACAACACCAAAACCAATTCTGTGTTGTTTTGTGAGCTCCTGATCAGTCTTCAGAAAGTTCAATACTCTATGTTTTCTCCATTTGTTTGAGGCGGTCCTTATTACGAAGAGTCATAGCAATCTTTTCCAGGTTGGTAGATGTGAATGACGTGTCTCATTTGATCTTAAATATCTTTAGCTGTAGGTTTGTATGAGTCACTTTCAAACTAAACTGTCAATTTTGAGAAAACAGTATCTAAGTGTGAAAATGATCCAAAGATAGAACACAGTTCTTATTGACATCCTTTTTACAGCTCAGTGATGAACTTAAAGAATGAATCAGTTCATTGATCAGAGATGACCAAATATGGTCAAGTGTTCTTCATCCTGCAGTCTAAAAACAAACAGTTCTTTCAATTAAAAAATATGGTTTATCTTCTTTTCTGATGGATTTTTTCCAATTGACATTATACTGGAAAGTCGGGTTAGCTTCTGAGCTATAATACCATAAAAGCCATTTTACTATTTATGTAAGTTAGTCTAATACATAACTATTATTTCTGATTTGTGTGTGTTTGAATCAGTGTCATTACAGAAAGCATATAATAATCAATCTGATTTGTTGGTATCAGTAAACATCACACGATGGTCCATCAGAGATTCTCCCATGTTCTGAAGTAAAAACAAAATGAATATCAAATTTTTGTTTGCTAGCTAGACAAAATTTTAAAATAAAAAGACAATCAAGATAGAAGTGCTTATATTTGCAACAGAATCAGAAGAAATATTCCTACTGTTGATAAAATTATATGAGGTATCTTCTACTATTTTTTTCTAAAACATGTGAATCACAATCTTGCAGGAGGCTGCTTAGGGTTAGAATTCAAATCTACAAATGGATATTCACAGAAGATATCTGATCTATTGTCTAATGCGTCATGTGATGTCACCAGAGACACATTTATTTGGAGGTTTGTTTTTTTGGGAGGTCATATACTAAAGCTGACAAATTTAGATTGCAGCTGCAGTTAGTTTGACAGGTTGACAAAGATGAGCTAGTAGCTTTAATCGGGTTTTCCAGTTTACAATACATGGTTTGTCTGAATTGACATTTCTCCAAGTAAGGCGTACACATGTTCACAGTGTTGGAGAGTAAGGAGGGGGGCTTAGATAAGAATCAGACACACACAACAGTAAATTATAGAGCAGTCTTGAGTAATGTTTTGATAATTATCACAGGAACAAAAAGGAGCTCCATCAGTGAGGGATGCTGGGAAAAAGCAACAACACACACAGGAGAAGAATGTGAGAAAACAGACCAACCATTGAAAGTAGAGTTTACTGCGAATGATTCACGCTGCTTTCTCGGGGCTGGATTTGATCTAAGATGAGGGGCCGCACCCTCATGTAACTGGGGAAGGGCATGCTGGAAAGCGCCAAGGTTTTTTTTTCTATCTTATAGGATATGACTTGGGTAGATCCGGGACAAAAGGAAGGAAAGAAAAGTGACAGGTCAGACAGGAAGCTGAAACAACCCCTCACAGCCCCGAGAGAAAAACACAGATACCAAATAAGAAGACCACCCAAATGAGTTAGCACAGCCTGTCGGACAAACAAACAAACCTTCAGTGGAGCAATGAACCAAAAAGGAAATTCATTCATATTTACTTACAGCCTGGATTTCTCTCAGGAAAATGACATAGGGGGCAAACAAGACTTAACCACAATCCCTGAGGAAGCGAGGACTTATGATTTGATTGTCATAGGATGCCAGAGACCTCCAGAGGGCCCGAGAGGAAGCCATCACTCATCAAGCTGTTCAAAATACTTGTCTGTTTTATAAACTATATCTGTACATGATGAGTCACAGTAAAGTGTACTGTGTGACAGTAAAATTTCAGTGGATACTAAGATGCAAGTTTTTGACAACATAACATTGTTTAAGCTTTTATGTGACTTCCATACATATATATATGTGGTCATGTGTGTATGTTAGTCGTGTGACTATTTCTGTCTACAGTGTGGGGTTGTGAGGACCACTGCACATTTTTCTTGGTCCCCATGAGGGGAAATGGTTTTTGGCTAGGGGTATGGGTCTGTGATGGTTAGGTTTAGGGTTAGAGTTAGGGTGTAGAAAATGAATGGAAGTCAATGTAAAGTCCCCACAATGAAAACACGACTGCGTGTGTGTGACGTTAAATCAAAGAATGATTCAATGCAGCTTTAAGGATGCATATGCAGCCTGATCATTGCAGCCTCTTTTTTTTTTCATTTTTCTCTAAATCAGTTTTCTATATCTGTTTTTCAGATAAGTTGTGCAGGGTCCCAAAATAGTTATCCTGGTGTCATTTGTTACAGTACATTAACATCCCAGTTTGACAGTTAAACTGTTTATGCACACATACACCTTTTGCGGTTTTTATATGCAAAAACAGCATACGGTCAGTTTTTTCTCGATGATGCAGCAACAAGCAATAACACTTAGGGATCTTTTATCTTCATGTTTTATTATAGATGAGTAAGAGATTTTTCTGCCAGTTGGTCTTTATGAAAATCATGGCTAAGCTGTTTTTCTCCCCAGATGCAACTCAATATACAGATGCTTAAGAAAAATAACACATAGGCCACACGTTAAAAGATGAGTCCGTTTTTATTTACAGATCCTTAAAACGTGACTGTTGGACACTGTTAATACTCATGTTCTTTGCATTTTGTCCTCCACAAATTAGTGGAGACACACTGCTTACCAAGCCGGTATTTGACAACTTTTTAAGAACTGCGATGCAAGATGCTAATTAATAATCAAACTCATCTTTGGTATCTTACAGATTTAGTTAAATAGGAATGCACTGTGCCTCTGCGAAAGCTTTTAAAACGAATAACTGGATTCCAAAGAAGCTGATGTAGGAAAATGAAACGGGATCAAAAAGGAGCTAATAATCAGCAAACTTTTAAAAAGCTTAAAGAACTACTAAAGATCTCAAAATGAAGACTTTTTTGTGTTTTAAACAGGATTTACTGGCCAATGACATAAACTGAAGCTAGCTAATATAACAGGCTTGGTGACTTATTTTACCATAAAGTTCAGTCAGACAACATGCAGCACTGAGAAATTGGACAAAAAAAGATTCTAGAATAAATCATGGTTTTGTTTATGTAATTCTGATTATAAAAGAGGATATGAAGTTTCAGTGTTTATTTCTCAAATATTTCAACTTCTGCATCCTTTCAAATATTGCATATTTTTATACACAGTAACCCCCAAAGTTGGACTGTTTCTCACCGACTTCCTCTACTTGCTAAAGCTTTCCTTTATAAGCAACATGTATACGGCTGGCTGCCTTTGTTCAGCACACTGCAAACTCACCATCTGCTGGCACTGAGGAGTACTACACACTGACCACCCACCCATCAACCAACCCACACACTCACACATTACACCACACAGGAGAGGTACCAAAATAGGTTTTATCTTTTTTTTTTTTTTTTTTTTTTACATAAGAACATTGTCAAAACTGGAAAACATGTTTGCATAAAAGTCTTTCACAACAAGAAGACAATGTTTCAATTTCACAAAATAGAAATAATTGAACAAAATATTTTCTAAAATTTCAAACGTGAATCACCCTTCTTCCTTTTGCATTAACATTTGAACCAATCATTTAATCATATCTGAACAAGCTGTGTAAGGAGACAATCATGGGTTTTATTTATTTGAATTAAAAAAACAAAACAAAAAAAACATGCATAGCCCTGTTAATCAAAACCATACCAACATGCCGACAGCCTGACAAAAGAAATTCCCCCACCTTTACTGATTTACTCCATGTCAAGCATCTTAATTTAGTTTTATGAGACAAAAAATATGAGTTATGTCCCTTTTCCTTCACAGTAAGTGTCACAGAAAGTCAGCAAACCAACAGATTACAAATTAAAATCATCCATAAAAATAAAGCAAACAGCCAACAATCTTATTTATCCACTACTCTGCTCCACAAAACTTCCAGATCTCTGAGTGAAAGGAAGATTAACAGCTGGGATTATTTTCATTGTGTCTTTAATGTTGAAACATTTGCATTCAACCAGCCTAAGTGCCAAAACGTCACCAGGAGCATGAGGTGTTAATCAATTGTTCTCAGGCGTGGACTAAGAGAGGATAGCCAACCACTAACTTGTTAAAAGAAA